CCAGGAGTGGTGACCCCTTTGGTCACTAGTTCTAGGGCAGTGACCAGTACAACTATTCCAACTCTGACTCTTTCTCCTGGTGAACCAGAGACCACACCTTCAATGGCCACCAGTCATAGGACAGAAAGGGCAGAAGCCAGCTCAACTGTTCCAACTGTTTTACCTGGGGTACCAGGAGTGGTGACCTCTCTAGTCACTAGTTCTAGTGCAGTAGCCAGTACAACTATTCCAACTCTGGCTATTTCTTCTAGTGAACCAGAGACCACAACTTCATTAGTCACTCATTCTGAGGCAAAGACAATTTCAGCCATTCCAACTTTAGCTGTCTCCCCTACTGAACAAGGGCTGGTGACTTCACTGGTCCCTAGTTCTGGGTCAGAGACCAGTGCATTTCCAAATCTAACTGTTGTCTCAGGTCAACCAGAGACCACAGCCTCATGGATCACTCATTTCGGGACAGAAACAAACTCTGTTGTTCCAACTTTGACTGTCTCCACTGGGGAGCCATTTACAAAAATCTCATTTGTCACCCATCCTGCAGAGAGTAGCTCAACTGTTCCCAGGACAACCTCAAGCTTTTCCCATAGTGAATCAGACACTATGCCTTCCACAGTCACCAGTCCTGAGGCAGAATCCAGCTCAGCCATTTCAACAACTATTTCACCTGGTATACCAGGTGTGCTGACTTCCCTGGTCACTAGCTCTGGGACAGACATCAGTGCAACTTTTCCAACAGTGCCTGAGTCCCCACATGAATCAGAGGCAACAGCCTCATGGGTTACTCATCCTGCAGTCACCAGCACAACAGTTCCCAGGACAACCCCTAATTTTTCTCATAGTGAACCAGACACCACACCCTCAATAGCCACCAGTCCCAGGGCAGAAGTCAGTTCAGCTTTTCCAACAATAACTGCCTCATCTGATGTACCAGATATGGTGACCTCACAGGTCACTAGTTCTGGGACAGACACCGGTATAACTATTCCAGCTCTGACTCTTTCTCCTGATGAACAAGAGACCACAACCTCATTTATCACCTATTCTGAGACACACACAAGTTCAGCCATTCCAACTCTGACTGTCTCCCCTGGTGCATCAAAGATGCTGACCTCACTGGTCACTAGTTCTGGGACAGACAGCACTACAACTTTCCGAACACTGACGGAGACCCCATATGAACCAGAGACAACAGCCACACAGCACATTCATCCTGCAGAGACCAACACAATGGTTTCCAGGACAACCCCCAAGTTTTCCCATAGTGAGTCAGACACCACACTCCCAGTAGCCATCACCAGTCCTGGGCCAGAAGCCAGTTCAGCTGTTTCAACGACAACTATCTCACCTGATATGTCAGATCTGGTGACCTCACTGGTCCCTAGTTCTGGGACAGACACCAGTACAACCTTCCCAACATTGAGTGAGACCCCATATGAACCAGTGACTACAGCCACATGGCTCACTCATCCTGCAGAGACCAGCACAAAGGTTTCTAGGACAATTCCCAACTTTTTCCATAGGGGATCAGACAGTACACCCTCAATGGTCACCAGTCCTGGAGTAGACGCCAGGTCAGCTGTTCCAATTACAACCATCCCATCCAGTATACCAGAGGTAGTGACGTCACAGGTCACTAGTTCTGCAACAGACACTAGTACAGCTATTCCAACTTTGACTCCTTCTCTTGGTGAACCAGAGACCACAGCCTCATTGGCTGCCCATCCTGGGACACAGACTGGCTTCACTGTTCCAATTCGGACTGTTCCCTCTAGTGAGCCAGGTACAACAGCTTCCTGGGTCACTCATTCTGCACAGGTCAGCACACCTGTTTTGAGAACAACCCCCAGTTTTTCCCATAGTAGACCAGATGCCACACCTTTAATGGCCACCAGTCCTGGGACAGAAGTCAGTTCAGCTGTGCTGACAACAATCTCACCTGGTGCACCAGAGATGGTGACTTCACAGATCACTAGTTCTGGGGCAGCAACTAGTACAACTATTCCAACTTTGACTCATTCTCCTGTTATGCCAGAGACCACAACCTTATTGATCACCCATCCCAGCACAGAGACAAGTACAACGTTTCCTGCTTCAACTGTGTTTCCTCAAGTATCAGGGACCACAGCCTCACTCTCCATTAGACCTGGCACAGAGACTAGCACAGCTCTCTCAACTCAGACAACATCCTCTCTCTTCACCCTACTTGTAACTGGAACTGGCAGAGTTGATCTAAATCCAACTGCTTCACCTGGTGTTTCTGCAAAAACAGCCTCACTTTCCACCCATCCAGGGACAGAAACCAGCACAATGATTCCAACTTCAACTCTTTCCCTTGGTTTATTAGAGACTACAGGCTCACTAGCCACCAGCTCTTCAGTAGAGACCAGCACCGGTACTCTAACTCTGACTGTTTCCCCTGCTGTCTCTGGGCTTCCCAGTGCCTCCATAACAACTGGTAAGCCCCAAACTGTGACCTTCTGGAACACAAAAACCTCACCATCTGTAACTTCAGCTGGACCCCCAGAATTTTCCGGGACTGTCACAGGCACCCCTATGACCTTGATACCATCAGAGACGCCAACACCACCTAAACCCAGTCATAGAGAAGGAGTGAGTCCAACCACTATCTTGAGAACTACGGTGGTTGAAACCACTAATTTAGCTGCCACAGGTTCCAGTCCCACTGTGGCCAAGACCACAACCACCTTCAATACACTGGCTGGAAGCTCCTTTGCTCCTCTGACCACACCTGGGATGTCCACCTTGGTCTCTGAGAGTGTGACCTCAAGAGCAAGTAAGAATAACTTTTTTTATTGTGGTAAAATATAAATACTATAAAATTTTCCATTCTAAACATTTTAAATGTACAATTCAGCAGTACTAATATATTCACATTGTTGTGCAACCCTCACCAATATCTATTTTCAAAACTTTTTTTTTTTTGTCACCCCAAACAGGACTGAAGGAATAATTTCCCATTCCCCATTTTCCCTAGTGCAGTGGTGCAATCTTGGCTCACTGCAACCTCTGACCCTCTGTCTCCTGGGTTCAAGCAATTCTCCTGCATCAGACTCCTGAGTAGCTGGGACTACAGGTGCACACCACCATGCCTGGCTAATTTTTTGTATTTTTAGTAGAGACAAGGTTTCACTATGTTGGGCAGGCTGCTCTCGAACTCCTGACCTCAGGTGATCCACCCTCCTCGGCCACTCAAAGTGCTGGGATCACAGGCATAAGTCACTGCACTCAGCCCTGTCTCACTTTTCTTTTCTTTTCTTTTTTTATTTTTTTGAGACGGAATCCCGCTCTGTCACCAAGCTGGAGTGCAGTGGTGCAATCTTGGCTCACTGCAACCCCCGCCTCCCTGTTCAAGGGATTCTCCTGCCTCAGCCTCCCGAGTAGCTGGGACTACAAGGTGTGTGTCACCACACCCAGCTAATTTTTGTATTTTCAGTAGAGACAGGGTTTCACCATGTTGGCCAGGATGGTCTCCATCTCTTGACCTCATGATCCACCCTTGGCCTCCCAAAGTGCTGGGATTGCAGGCGTGAGCCACTGCGCCTGGCCGTCTCAGCCCGTACAGCCCGAGCAAACTGGAATCACTGGTCACCCCACATAGGAAGGTCTCAGACAGTGACTGCTACATAAGGTATTTCAAGTAGGATGGCCCAGGCTGGACCCCAGCTGGATGCTGGAGTTAAAATGTGTCCTCGGAGCCTTTCCTCCCACGCCCCACTGCCCAGGGTCTGACTTAGGACTGGTCTCTTCTTACCCTCCCTTTCTGCAGCTGGCATGCCTTTGTTGATGCCTTTGACTGTCAACTTCACCATCACCAACCTGCAGTACACGAAGGACATGGGGCGCCTGGGCTCTGAAATATTCAATGCCACCGAGAGGGCCCTGCAGCAGCTGGTGAGAGCCCCCCAGCCAATGCCCACTCCTCCAATGTCTCGGCCCCTCCTCCTTCTCATCTCTCTCTCTTTCCTTCCCAGCTCGAGCCCTTGTTCCAGAACAGCAGTATTGGTTCCCTCTATGCTGGCTGCAGGCTGACCTCGCTCAGGTGAGACCCCCCTTCACGGCACCTACAGCAACCCCGATTCAGTCCTTTCTTTGCCTCCCACACCCCCAGCAGCCACAGCGACTTGGGCTTTTGCTGAGAGGCAGTATAGCATAATAGACCCAAAGTGCCTCGGTTTGAACACCAGCTCTACAATTTGCTAGCTGTGTGACCCTGGGCAAGACGCACAGCCTCTCTGTTCCTCAATCATATTATTTATAAAATGGTGATGATAACATTCTCTTACTCTTGATGATAATAACAGTTTCTTATTCTATTGGTGATGGTAACAGTCCCTTGCTCTTTTCTCTCTGTTTTTTTTTTTGAAATGGAGTCTCACTCTGTCACCCAGGCTGGAGTACAGTGGCATGATCTTAGCTCACAGCAACCTCCGCCTCCCAGGTTCAAACGATTCTCCTGCCCCAGCCTCCCAACAGTCTCTTACTCTTAATCACTTAGCAGAGTGCCTGGACCATTGTGAATGCTCATTTAATTAGGACTCATAGCAGCAATTGGTGTAGCATCTTTGCCAAAGGTATCCCCAGAATCCCTGACAGCTTCCTGGCCCCAGCCCATCTCTACCACATTAGGGTCAAGCTCCAGACACCACAGCTCTGCAGTTTGCTCCCTGGAAAGAGATAGGCACTTTGCCAAAGTCAGTCTTACTGAATCAAAGGGAAAAATCCATTATCTTTTTTTTTTTTTTAATTTTACTTTAAGTTCTACAATACATGTGCAGAACGTGCAGGTTTGTTACATAGGTATACATGTGCCAAGGTGGTTTGCTGCACCTATCAACACGTCATCTAGGTTTTAATGACCTGTCTTTTCCTCTCTGCTTGTGTCCCCTCAGTGTTCTCGGGGCGCAGCAGATTCAGTACCCTTTCCTTACACCTTACAACCCTGCAGCCTCTCTGTGAGGTCCTCCATTCAGTCAATTCAGATCCCCTGCCAGAGGGGTGGGTCTTCTACTCACATAGCCCCATGAAAAGAAATCAAAACTGTCCTCAGCTGAGCTCCCCTGACCCCACCCGCCCCCATCTCTCCATAGGATCAGGGAATGTCATAACATTGTTCTTACGACATGCCACCAGCAATCTAAGTGGTTTACGTGTTTTCATTTATTTTATCCTCACAACCACATTATTTTTATCCCATCTTGTGGATGAGAAAACTGAAGCTCAGAATAATCAAGCTCCTTGCTTAAGAGGAGCCTAGCTTTAAGCCCAAGGGTTCTGGTTCTAGAATGTTTACTTCTAACCTTGACACCAGCAGTTCTCAAGCTCACTGGATTCAACAACCTTTTACATTCCACTTCGTTGACATATCATTGACATGTAAACATTGTGTATATGTAAGGTGTACAACTAGATGTCTTGACATGTGTGAACCTGGTGAAGTGGTCACCAGAATGCAGCTAATTTGCACATCCAGCACCTCTCCAGAGTTACCATTTGTGCGCGCATGTGTGTGTGTTGAGAAGATTTAATTTAAGATCAATCCTCTCTGCTAATTTCAAGTATACAATACAGCATTGTTAACCTTCGTAATCATGCTATACATTAGATCTTCAGAACTTATTCACCTTATAGTTTAAACTTTGTACCCTTTGGCCAGCATTATCCCATTCTCTCCTCCTTTTGCATTCTTAAAAAGTACTCATAGCCGGGCGTGGTGGCTCATGCCTGTAATCCCAGCATTTTGGGAGGCTGAGGCAGGTGGATAACCTGAAGTCAAGAGTTCGAGACCATCCTGGTCAACACAGCGAAACCCCGTCTCTACTAAAAATACAAAAATTAGCTGGGCGTGGTGGCGCATGCCTGTAATCCCAGCTACTCGGGAGGCTGAGGCACAAGAATTGCATGAACCTGGGGGGGCGTAGGTTACAGTGAGCTGAGATCGCGCCACCGCACTCCAGCCTGGGGGACAGAGTGATACTCTGTCTGGAAAAAAAAAAAAAAAGTATTCAGAACTCCAAAGAGCCTTTGGGCTTGTATAACAATATTTACTGTATTCAAAATTAAAACTAGCCCAGGCACAGTGGCTCACACCTGTAATCCCAGCACTTTGGGAGACTGAGGCAGGCAGAAGGCTTGAGCTCAGGAGTTTGCGACCAGCCCAGACGAGCAAGTGAGACTCAGTCTCTACAAAAAATACAAAACTTAGCTGGGTGTGGTGGCATCTGCCTGTGATCCCAGCTACTTGGGAGGCTGAGGTGGGAGGATGGCTTGAGCCTGGAGGCAGAGGTTAAAGTGAGCCAAGATTGCACCACTGCGCTCCAGCCCGGGCAGCAGAGCCTGACCTTGCTCAAAAAAAAAAAAAAAATTAAAACTAAGAAATAGTACAAATATGTATTCATTCATTCACTAAAAATAATAAATCTACTACATGTTAACATAGAGAACATATTTTTAGGTATAATAGCCATATTCCACCCCCCCCCACCAAAAAAAACTCATTTAAAAAAAGGGGCGTTGTTTGCAAATCTTTTTCTTTTAATGTTGCGTAGATTTACCTTTTATTTTACTTTTTAATTGGTATATATTGATTGTACATATTTATAGTCTTAATACCTGTGGTATATAGTGATCAGATCAAGGTAATTAACACATCTATTATCTCAAACATTGATCACTTCGTTGCGTTGGGACCATTCAGTATCCTCCTTCTAGCTATTTGACACTAATAATATTTTGTTTTTTAATTTTTAATTTTTGTGGGTACACAGTAGGTGGGTATTATGGGGTACATGAGATGTTTTGACGCAGGCATGCAACGTGTGACCATCACTTCAGGGAGAGTGGAGCATTCATCCCATCAAGCATCTATTCTTTGTGTTACAAACAATCCAGTTATACTTTTTTAGTTATTTTTAAAAACACAATTAAATTATTATTGCCTATAGTCACCCTGCTGTGCTATTAAGTACTGGAGTTTTTTTTCAGTAATTTTTTAAATTTCAATTTTAATTTTTGAGATGGAATCTCGCTCTGTCACTCAGGCTGGGGTGTAGTGGCGTGACCTCAGCTCACCGCAACCTCTGCCTCCTGGGTTCAAGTGATTCTCCCACCTCACCTCAGCCTCCTGAGTAGCTGGGACTATAGGCATCCACCACCACACCCGGCTAATTTTTGTATTTTTAGTAGAGACAGGGTTTCACCATTTTGGCCAGGCTGGTCTCGAACTCCTCAGCATAAGTGATCCACCTGCCTTGGCCTCCCAAAGTGCTGGGATTACAGGTGAGAGCCACTGCACCTGGCACTTTTTTAGTTATTTTAAAATGTATAATTAAGGCGAGGCATGGTAGCTTATGCCTGGAATTCTAGCACTTTGGGAGGCTAAGGTGGGCCAATCGCTGGAAGGCCAGGGGGTTCAGCCAGCCTGGCACATGGCAAGAACCCATCTTAACTAAAACTTTCAAAAATTAGCCGGGCACAGTGGTAGGCACCTTGTAATCCCAGTCGCCTCTGGAGGCTGAGGAGGAGACTCGTTGACCACGGAGGTGGGAGGTTGCAGGTGAGCCAAGATGCATCATTGCACTCCAGGCCTGGACGACAAGGTGGAACTCTGTCTCAAAAAAAAAAAACGGAAAGTCAAGACGAGCAAAAAGATCACCATTTCGGACTGTGATGACTAATCAATTTGACTTGTGTATTATCTTCACCGCCAGACCATTCGTTCTGTAGCTTAGCTTAGGAGCACCCTCCACCCCATTTGCTCACACTATCCTGTAATCTCTGTGCTCTCACTGCTGTTCTTTGGGTTTCATATTTTCCTTATATTCTTCCACGTCTAGCTGGATTGCAGAGTTAAGTTTATGATTATGAAAGGAAAACTAAATAACAACAACAACAACAAAAACCACCAAGGGGCACCACTGGAGAAAGGAGCTGTTCAGAGTACCAGCTGTCAAGTATCTCTGTATGTCTGTATTCCCATGTCCCTGCCTAGGGCTGAAAAGGACGGGACAAGCACCAGAGTGGATGCCATCTGCACCTACCGCTCAGATCCCACCAGCTATGAGCTGGACAGAGAGCAGCTGTACTGGGAGCTGAGCCAGTTGACTCACGGTGTCACCCTGCTGGGACCCTACACTCTTAACAGGAACAGCCTCTATGTCAATGGTGAGTAGCTATTGACAATGGTGAGTAACTTGGGCTACAGTTGGGGAGGCTCCTCCTGCTCCCCAAATGGGTCTCCCTGTAGTACAAGTCCTCTACCTATGTTCAAAGTTCTGGACCAACCTAGAATTTCCAGGGTGGGATGGTCTGTTTTCTCTCCACTCAACACACTTAAAAAGAAGCTTTCAGTCGGGCACGGTGGCTCACGCTGGCTCACGTCAGCACTTTGAGATGCCGAGGCGGGCAGATCACAAGGTCAAGAGATCAAGACCAGCCTGGCCAACATGGTGAAACTCCGTGTCTACTCAAAATACAAAATTCAGCTGGGTGTGGTGGCGTGTGCCTGTAATCCCAGCTATTCAGTAGGCTGAGGCAGGAAAACTGCTTGAACCTGGGAGGCGGAGGTTGCAGTGAACCAAGATCATGCCACTGCACTCCAGCCTGGCAACAGAGCAGGACTCCGTCTCAAAAAAGAGGAAGCTTCTTTCAAGTGGAAATAAAGATTCCCTCCACAGCCTTCTCATCCCCATGACCATTCAGAGGCCCACTGGGAGCATGCAGAATCAAGGAAGGAAGGGAAAAGCCAGGCTCATTGTGGTGACTGGACATAATTCTTCCCCAACAGGCAACAGGTTCCCAATACAGTCACTCATCTTCGTCTTTCTCTTCTTTATAGCAGCTGGTGGCCCTTTACTTTCTCCAAAGGTCAGCTGGAACTATACACTCCACTCGCAAAACAAACCAAAAAACTCTGAGTAATGTGTTTAGCAATAAAGCCCTTTGCAACAATGCTGTTGGCAACAATACCAACAGGAACACCTGTGATAAAGGTTAATATTTATTGAGGGATTCCTGTGATACTGAACTTCGTATGTATATTATGTTTTACTAACCTTACCCAAAGTCTTAGCAGGCTGTAAAATATACATACCAGAGAAACAAACAAGGCTCAGGGCAGGGAATCGTGTTTGCCCAAGTTTGATAGCTAAGTAGTAGAATTGGGACTCAAACCCCAAATTGACTCTAAAATCTAGCCACCCTAACTTCTTCCCATCTATTATTTATTTATCTATCTATTTATTATTTTTTTAAGACAGAGTCTTGTGTGTTGATCTTGGCTCACGCAACCTCTGGCCTCCCGGGTTCAAGCAATCCTTCCTGCCTCAGCCTCTCCAGTAGCTGGGATTACAGGCACACCGCACCATGCAGCGCTAATTTTTGTATTTTTAGTAGAGGACAGGGTTTTCACCATGTTGGTAGGCTGGTCTCGAACTCCTGACCTCTGGTGATCCACCCGCCTCGGCTTTCCATAATGCTGGCATTACAGGCATGAGCCACGGCACCTGGCACCACCCTAACTTCTAAGCATCGCTGCAGAACCCAGCGCATGACATAAGCCAACACATCTCAGGATGGAAAAAGCCTATGAGGAGGCGGCCTGTCTGAATACCAACACATTTGAGCTCTAGTTTTATGATAACTCTGTCGTCACTATTACCAGCCTTTAGACATTTTCTTATCTGATACGCCTTGGATGACAACCTGCCTTGTTATTCTATTACATAGTCATTGGAAGGTGACTTAAAATGTAGCTTGTATAACAGTGGGTGTGCTTTTTTTGGGTCGAATCCAAGTCCCTTGGTGCTGCTCACCGTGGGGTGGGCCTGGGAAAGTCCTGCAGCGTCTCTAGGCTTCTGGAACAATGCTCTTAGCAACATCACCAACAAGAACACCTACAATAAAAGCTAATATTTACTGTAAAAGCTAATATTTACAGAACTTCTTATATGTGTTATGTCTCACTAATCCTGCCCAAAGGATTCAATGTCCTTTTTTTTTTTTTTTTTTGACAGTCTCCCTTTGGCACCCAGGCTGGAGTGCAGCAGTACAATCTTAGCTCACTGCAGCCTCCGCCTCCCGGGTTCATGCGATTCTCCTGCCTCAGCCTCTCGAGTAGCTGGGACTACAGGTGCCCGCCACCACGCCCGGCTAATTTTTTGTATTTTTAGTAGAGACGGGGTTTCCCCATGTTGGCCAGGCTGGTCTCAAACTCCTGACCTCAGGTGATCCACCTGCCTCGGCCTCCCAAAGTGCTGGGATTACAGGCGTGCGCCTCCGTGCCTGCCCATATGTGTTATGTCTTACTAATCTTGCCACACATCTCAGGATGGAAAAGCCTATCGAGGAGCTTCTAATACAACAATTTGAGCTCTAGTTTGATTAACTCTGTCCTCACTATACCACCTTAGACATTTTCTTTATACCTGGATGACAACCTGCCTTGTATTTCATTACAAGTCATTGAGAGTGACTTAAAAGTAGCTGTTAACAGTGTGTGTTTTGGTGAATCCCAAGTCCTGGTGCTGCTCACCGTGTGGCCCTGGGAAAGTCCTGCAGCGTCTCTAGGCTTCTGGAACAATGCTCTTAGCAACATCACCAACAAGAACACCTACAACTGGAGAAAGGAGCTGTTCAGAGTACCAGCTGTCAAGTATCTCTGTATGTCTGTATTCCCATGTCCCTGCCTAGGGCTGAAAAGGACGGGACAA